GGCAGAGCTGAAGTAATTTAAGTTCTATTTCTTTGACTTCAAATCACTATTTCTTTTAATTCTGTTATTTAAAGGACTATGTAGTATCACATGGGTTATGAGTTGCACCTGAAGAAAGCTCGAATGATTTCTAATCATAAATCCTAAACCAAGGGTTGACAAGCTTTTTCTGTAAAACTTCAGATAGTAAATACTTTAGGCTTTGCAGGCCATGCATAGTCTCTACTGCAATTGCTTAACTCAGCTGTCCCAGTGCAAAAGCAGCCACAGACAATATGTACATGAATGAGCATGGCTGTGTTCCAATAAAACTTTATAGACACTGAAATTTGAATTTCATGTATAATTTTCACATCATGAAATATGGTTCTCCTTTTGATTTTTTTCAACCATTTAAAAATATAAAAATCATTCTTTGCTCACAGGCTATACAAAAACAGGCAGCAGGCAGATTTGTCTTGAGATATACAGTTTGCTGATCCCTAACCAAGGGAATTAATATTCCTTGCTGTTCCCTTTTGTGGGACAGGTTTACATCTAGGCTCACCCTTACACTGAAGGTATAGCCCTTTGAGGACAGCTCTGTTTACAGCAGAGGTTTCTTATTGCTTTACTTTGGTAGGCTGCAGAGTTTGTCTCCTGCACTCAATAGTCCGAGTTGTGCAGATGAAGCTCAGGGTCAAAATGCTTTTGCATAAATCCCTGGGACAAAAGGTAGCTTGAGCACTACTTTAGCTCTCTGGGCTTCTGTATTCACTTTGCTTTTGTCCTGTGAATTTTTAAAATTTGTCAACTCAGTTATACATTTACCAATCATTTATTGCTGTTATCAGTAGGAGGGCTAGTCAGAATATTTTGCCATTCTGCAGAAACAGAGACCCTCTTCCTAGGGGTTATACTTCACTCCAGGCTAACAGCTCTTAAGAAAGAGTGTCAATACTGGTAAAATAGATTTAATGTTGTTTGGTTACTTAAGGTATCTCTAATGTAGGCAGAAACCTTAATCAAGATTTAATTCCTGTTTATAAACAAAATTTTGATGTATTATATATGGTAAAAATATTAAATTCAATCAGTAAGAAATACCAAATGGAGGAAATAAACCTTTTTCAGGGAAGATTTCTTTGTCTATTCTATCTAGTTTGTTTGATGCAGAACCTAACAAGATTTCACAGACCATCAGCTTTATAAGAAGGATCATTCAAGTTTTATTCTCTTTATACGCTCTTAACGTACACATTAGCACAATTTCTGAAACATATTCTCTAAACAAGGTGTAATCTAATTACACCTTGTGTAATCTAATTCAGAAGTAGCTCCTAATTCTGATAAATTTTTCTTGTATGGACAGCTTCTAACAGACTTTGCCAAATAGAAATTTATGCTATCACTTCAGTTTTTAAGTGACATTAAGACTTTTAACCTGTACATGAATGCCAAATTCCTTGCCCCACCCCCTTTTAAAGAACATTTAAGTTTACTCTCTTAGCAAATTTTAATTATACAATACAGTGTTATCAACTATAGTCACCATGTTATATATTAGATCCTCAGATGTTATTATCTTATAGCTGAAAGTTTGTAACCTTTTACAACCTCTCCCTATTTCCTGCCATCCCCAGACCCTGGAAACCACTTTTCTACTCTGTTTCTATGAGTATAACTTTTTAAAAGATTATACATAAATGATACTATGTAGTATCTGTCTGTCTCCATCTGACTTATTTCACGTAGCCTAATGCCCTCAAGGTCCATCAATGTTGTCACAAATGGCAGGATTTCCTTCTTTCTCATGCCTCAATAATATTCCATTGTGTGGAATATATTCATATACACGCACACACATACACTGCATCTTCTTTATCCATTCATCTGTTGATGGACACTTAGGTTGTTTCCATATCTTGGCTATTATGAATAATGTTACAATAAACACAGGAGTGCAAATATCTGTTCAGTATTCTGTTTTCATTTCCTTCAGACCATGGTCCTTTCCTGGTATGATTAAAAGGACAGATGAATACAAATTCTAGATTATCAATATAATTTAGGTTTTGCACAAGCTTCATTTCTGGTGGCCAGACTTGTTTTAATTTTAGATGGTCTAAGACTATTGGCTAGAGAATGTGGCTGGCCTTTGTCCCCAGTTTCTGTGAGGTAGCCTCTAAATCCTTGGAATTTTTGATTGGAGTGGCTTTCTTATTCATGGTGGCTTCTAGAGTTTATACTAATGAGATGACTCAGGATGGGAGAGAGACATGCTAGAAAGAGCAATCATGTGATTAGAAAACTGGGACCTTGAGCCATATAATATCAGCACAACCTCTGGGAAGGGGTGGGGGGGATGGAGACTGAGTTCAACCTTATAGCCAACGATTTAGTCAATCATGCTCACGTAATGAAACCCCAGTAAAAACTCTGGACACTGAAGCTCAGATGCACTTCCCTGGTTAGTGATACACTAAGCATTGTCACACATCAGTGTAAGGTGGGTAGCTAACTCCATGGGGAAAGGACACGGAAACTTCACACTTTGGGCCCTCCCAGACATCACCTTATGAGTCTCTTCTTTTGGCTGGTTCTGGTTTGAATCTTCTTTGCTATAATAAAACTATAATTTACATTTAGTGCCTTCCTGAATTCTGTGAATTGTTCTAGTGAATAATCAAACCTGAGCGGGTCATGTGAACCTCCCAAATTTGTAGTCAGCTGGTCAGAAGTGAGGGTAGCTGTGGGAGTTCAGAAGCTTGCAGCTGGTGAATGAAATGAGGGCAGTCTTGTGGAAGATTGTGCCCTTAACCTATGAAATTTGGCCTAACTATGGGTAGAGTCAGAATTGCATTGCAAAGGCTCTACCATATTTATTGCCACTTGTATTCCTGAGCTACTTTCCCTTATCTCTAAGTTCTTTGGTTCAGAGAGGAACTGTGACCATTTTTAAAGAGTAAACTTGTTATGCATTATGTAATTTTTAAAAAAAGAACTATAATTGTAGATAGCAGTGATTATTTCTGAAGTAAATCAGACATCAGACATTTTTATCCAACAAGCTTTTTATTAAGTATATTCCATAGCTACATTCTAGTTAGCAGGATACAAAGATAATACATAATTCCTGCTGCTAGGGAGTGTAGGTCTAGGAAAGACTCAGACAAACCATTACAGTAGAATTAATCAGTGTGATAAAAGAAACATGAATAGGGAACATGGCAATGCCAAATGAGTAGGTGAGAAAGAAAAGCAGAGGCCTGGAAGAAGTGCTGTTAGGATTGAAATTTGAGAGCTGGGCAGGGAATGGCCAGAAGGAAGGGTAAAAAGGGGAAAGAGGACAGCGTGGAAGGTGGAGAGTGGAGTGACCTCTGGGACCGGACACAAAGTTGAACTGCACATAGCAGAGGTAAGAGTTGCAGCTAGAGAGAAACACTGGGCCCAGAACATAAAATGCCTTATATGTACTACGTTAAGAAGTTTGGAGTTTATCTTAAATGTAATGGGGAAGCACTGAAGGATTTCAAGAAGGGGAATAAAATAATAAAAGATGTGTTTCAGAAAAAAAAAATTGAAGCAGTGTTATAAATAGAATAAATATCAGATGAGATTGGAATCAGTCTTAAGAAGTGATGAGGTAATTCTGGCCAAAAACAGTAGGCTTTGGAATTAGGATAGAAAGATGGAATTAGAATCAAGAGACCGTAAGCAGGTAAACTTGGCTTAGCCTCATTTGATTTTGAGGGGGGAAGCACTTAGGGAGGCATCAGGGTTTGGTCTGGATGGTGCTTCTCTTCATTAAAGGGAATCCAGGAAGAAAAGCATCCATGGTGGGAAGAGTAGGGTTCAGTTCTGTACATACTGAGATACTGTGAAACAAGTAAGTATAGCAGATATACGGCTGAATATATGAGATGGCAGCTCAGGAAGGTTACTGCAAGTGAAAATACAACCACTGTTAAAGGTTATAACTTTAACAATGATTTTGGAACTACAGGAATGAATAAGATCATCAAATTGGAGTCTGTAGAGCAAGGAAAGAATACGATCAAGATAAGAATCCCAAGAACACCAACATTTGAGGAGTAGATGGAATCAGAATATAGAAATTGAAGAGAAATGGTGTCACAAACCAAGGAAGGATCAACAGAGCTACAGAGATCCAGCAGCAGAAGGTAACACAGGTCATTAAAGACCATGGTTTCATTGTAGAAGGGATGAAAAATCAGATAAAATGGATTAAGAAAATAGCAGGAATGAGGAATTTGAGATGACCTCTGGTTATTTTTTCAAAACATGGTGTGTGAAGGGAAGAAGTATTGGATAATAGCTAGATGGGGCAACAATTAGAGGAAGGTTGTTCTGATTATTTTTAAGATGGGTACACTCTAATATGCTGAAGGGAAAAAGCAAGCAGTGAAATTAGGAAAGAGCATAATGGATGAAGCAAGGGCTCTGTGAATGTGGGAGAAGAGATTAAGAGAAGGGGTAGAGGGATACATGTTCAACAAACAATATGAGGAATACTGTATTGAGTAGGAAAAAAAAAACAATGGTAGGGATGGCACTACAAAGAGAAAACTTAAGTTACAACTCAAACTACTTACAAGGACAGGAAATTCACTAACAATGGCTCCTATTGAGCCTGCTAATCTTTCAAAATGATACAAAATAGGCAACAATTTACATACATTCTCTACAGAGGAATGCTATGCATAATATCAGCCTCAAAGAATAAGAAGTATGTTGTGCCATGTTTCATTTTCTTGAGGAAGCCAGGAATTAACTATTTTTTAATTAATTAATTTTTGGCTGTGTTGGGTTTTGTTGCTGCGCACAGGCTTTCTCTAGCTGCAGTGAGCTGGGGCTACTCTTCGTTGCGGTGCGTGGGCTTCTCATTGTGGTGGCTTCTCTTGCTGCAGAGCACGGGCTCTAGGCGCACGGGCTTCAGTAGTTGTGGCTCACAGTCTCTAGAGCACAGGCTCAGTAGTTGTGGTGCATGGTCTTAGTTGCTCCGCAGCATGTGGGATCTTCCCGGACCAGGGCTCGAACCCGTGTCCCCTGTATTGGCAGGTGGATTTTTAACCACTGTGCCACCAGGGAAGCCCAGGAATTAACTATTGAAATAGATACATAAGTGGATATTCTGTTTCTGCTGAGTATGCAGAATGCATGGCCATATTGTTGAGGTGTATTTACAACACTTTAAACTAGTAATCACTAGTACTCATTTTTCTATGAAAAGATTCATAAAAATAGCCCACAAAAACTGACTGAACTCATCCTATAACTGAAATTTTTCAATAGGACTTTGGCAGTTTTCATGCAAACAACAACAACAAAACACTCTGAAATGATGGTGGTACTTAGCTGTTTGGAATCCTCACAAGGTGAGTCACTCATTTCTGCATACCAACCCCTCAGGGCAACTGATTCAAATTTATGTCCTGGAAACAGGCTTCAGACTGGGAACTTATAAAAATGGGACTCACAAGAATCCCATTATGCCTGTATACTGTGTGGAAGATTGCTACTTCCTTACGTCTTCCCGGAATCTAGGTAATAATACTCACTTTCCTGTATGGATTGTATGGTCATCAAGTAACCTTCAAGATGGTATCCAAAAGAAGGAATATCCAAATTAGGAATATACATCCCCTACCTCTCCCCAAACACTAACAAAGTTGACAAAATGACACCCATATTTTTGTATGTCCGAAACAGATAAATGTAGTTAGTTTTAGCCCACTGCTAAGAAACTGGTATTCTGGGTAACCTGGAAAATCCAGTTAATATGTTTGCAAGGCTGAAGTTCATCTGCAACTAGCTGGGCTCCCTGGACAACACCCACCAATACAGTCTCCCCGAAACTGTGACATAAATAAACTCTGCTTACCTGGAGACCAGTCAAGCATCCAGAAAGAGCTTCCTTGTGTTACCTAGATATTATAAAAAGAACAGAATTAGACCAAGCTATTAGAGCAGTATCCAGTTTAATTAATCCCTTCTTCCCTCTGTTCTCCCACTGTACACTGCCTGTGCCTTTATTATAGCATGTGTATCACTGCCTATTATCATGTTATCACTATGGAACATAGCTATTTATGCTGTTTTTCCCACCTGAATATAATTTCTAGAGAGCATAGATAGTAACTTATGCTTTTCTTTTTCCCTAAGAATACAGGACACATAGCCTTACACACAACAGACACTCAATAAATATTTGCTATATTGAACCAGGCACAATTAAGGTCAATTAGGTATTATAGGGCTTCAGATTAGTTGTGAAAGGAATTAAGCTAAATCTCTGCATGTGATGGACACTCATGAATGTGCAAGAATCTGTCAAAAATGTGATCCTCCAGATATGAGTAAGTCTAGCTCTTGGGGGCTTTTGGGGAGAAAGGCATAAAAGTATTCCAAATAATTTGCCAAAATGAGTAATAATCTCAACTCTCACTATGCCTATTTATTCCTGTGTCCAGCTGGTTACAAGTGGGAAAAAAAATCCCACAGCACATTCTGGTTTTGTTGAATTTCACAAAAAACTGGATTTCATATTTAAAATAATCAAATGTTAAGACAGCCTTAGAAAGATTAAACAAAAGTTTTTTAAGGATACATTTCTCGGTGGTTTTAACCATTACTAAAGTGAATGCAGAGTACTGTTAACTTAGATCTGAATTTATTTTTATTCTCCTGACATCTGACATAAACTTCTAAACATAAGAAACAGGTTCCAATTTGCATCAACAACAGATTTTAATCAATCCCTGTCCTCCCCTCCCCCATTTAATTATGTTCATGGTCATCCACATTGATTTATATAATCAGTGCATCTCAACTTATTTTGCCATGGAGTAGACTCAAGATTGATTATCACCTCACATACAAATCACTACAAGAGTTTACCAAATCACTTCCCTGCTTCTAGCCTCTCCCCTCTCAGTTCCATTAAGCATATCTACTTGATGGCTCTTGTTAAGTGGCAGTCTCACCAAGACACTCTACAAATATTCATTGAGCACCTGTTATGAGCAAAGCACTGATATAGGTGTTATAGAGCAGATAAAGACCAGTAAAACACTGTGCTTGCCCTTCAAATCTACAGTCTAACTAGAGAAGTAACATGCAATCGTAATAAAACATTAAAGGAAATCAGAAGAGGAAGAAACGAAAAATTGCAGCTCAGGTGAGATACTATAGATGAGCAGCTTCTAAACTACAATTTAAAGGATGAGATTCCTATGGGTAAAGTAGAGGAGTGTTCCAGGTGGATGCAACAGCACTGAGCAATGAGTGGCTGTGAAAGTTGAGGCAAGTTAACCAGAAGCAATATACAAAGCAGATGAGATCAAATAATTAAAGACTACAAACACTGGGCAGGAAACTCAGCACATGCTATCTAATGAAGACCACTCTTTAAAAGTGCTATTCTATCTAGTACATAATGATATGGCATATAATATTACTTTAAAACAAAAACAAACAAAGAAATCAAATAATGCAAGATTCAGGGTACCTACCCAGGCAGGGGCATAGCAGGTGAACAATAGTTTAAGAAATAGAAAACTGGTCACTGGGCCACCATGTGCAGTTGTACAGTTGTATGTAGTCTATGTGAATGGCACTTTCTAAAGTTGTTCAGTGCACGACCTGTTCAAAAGTACTCAGTAACCCTGATGGTTTCAGACAGGTGAGTAATTAACTTTGCCGGAGTCTAGCTTTGCAAAAGGGAACTCATTAATGTAGAGATGGGTCAGAGGGCAAGAAATCAAGTCTCTCAGAAGACTGAAATCAGTTGTACGGTTCAAAGTCTTGAAACAACAAGATAGAGATGCAGGTCCTTATAACTTAGGAACAAGATATAAGCAATGTATCAAGACAGTATGACTCTCAGTGTAATTTCTATGTAAGAATTCTTATAGCTTCTTTAAGAAAAGGATTGGCTCCAGAGTCTCGCACCACAATACCCCCAAACACCCCCAACTTACTGATGGAGTTTAATTGGCCATAGAACAAAGTTATTAGGAAGGAAAATATGTCATCACATCATTATTTAAGAAAAAAATGTTTAAGCCTTTATTTTTATGGTTATTAATACCCTGTTTGCTTCCTTTCATTACAAATCATATTTCAGCTATGTTATAATTTTTAAAAACTTTGAGCTTTAGCCTAGAAATCTGTATGTTTTCAGAGTACAAATATATTAATGGCACATTCACTTTTTGGGTGGGGGGAGGGGAGAGAATGGTCCTAAAGTGCAGTTTTACTTGGACACATAGAAACTGTGTAAAATCGGGCTTCCCTGGTGGCAAAGTGGTTAAGAATCTGCCCGCCAGTGCAGAGGACACAGGTTCGAGCCCTGGTCCAGGAAAATCCCACATGCCACGGAGCAACTAAACCCGTGCACCACAACTACTGAGCCTACACTCTAGGGTTTGCGAGCCACAACTACTGGGCCTGCGTGCCACAACTACTGAAGCCCACACGCCTAGAGCCTGTGCTCCCCAACAAGAGAAGCCACCACAATGAGAAGCCCGTGCACCGCAACGAAGAGTAGCCCCCACTCTAGTAGTCTAGTAGTCTAGTAGTCTCACTCCAAAGCCCAAGCTCTTTCTTACTCACAGCTTTCTACTGCTTCTACAACTGGTATTCAAGGAGTAAATAATATCTTTGATACTACTGTTAGAATTTCATCAAGTGCATATTATTTAATGAATGTCCAAAGAGGAGCAACAACCAGAAGCAAAGATAAGATTAAAATAGATCTTGAGTCTGGATCCCAATAAGCAAATTATTTTCAGAAAATTTAATGGGCTTTGATAGTGAGGTGATGAAATTGCTGAAAAGAAACAATGATACTCAGCTACAGCAGAAAACTACTGTAAAACAAGCAAAAAAACAAATAAAATAAAGTAAAATGCAAGGAAATAAGGTTAGGGTGAATCATATCCCATGCCTGCCTAGGATCTAGAAAATGCAAACCAAATCTATTCCAAGAAAATTAATTTTGTGGAAATTCTGCAACTTGATATAGACAGGGGTTTAATTTTGTTTTTTTTCTTTTTGTTTATTTTGCGGTACACGGGCCTCTCACTGCCGTGGCCTCTCCCGTTGCGGAGCACAGGGTCAGGACGCACAGGCTCAGCGGCCATGGCTCACGGGCCAGCCGCTCCGTGGCATGTGGGATCTTCCCAGACCGGCACACGAACCCGTGTCCCCTGCATCGGCAGGCAGACTCCCAACCACTGCGCCACCAGGGAAGCCCAGGGGTTTAATTTTGGTTTAAAAAGTTTCTAGATTTATCATAGGAAAAAAAAACACTCTAAGTATCATAAGTGACCGTATTACTAAATCTGAATAACTCAATGTCTACACAGTTTATTAGTGTACACATTTAATAACAACTTATACGGTTTTTAAAAAATTTATATTCTGGTTATGCTAATTTCCAGGCTTAAGGAATTACTGCATTGCTCACTGTTTTATATCAGAATCTGTTAAAGGAGGGAAGGTAGGAAAAGAGTACGATGACAAAGAAACTTACTGGGGTTTAGAACCATGAAATGAAGCAAAGGCCCACAGGTGCAGAGCCCAGGTTGATTCCTGGTCTAGTATTCTTTCCATTCTAACCTGCTTATTCTACAGAAGGAAGTTTCTGAATCCTGGAGTGTGTCTTAGAAATCATCTAGCTAAAAACATCAATTTCACTGAGAGCAAAACCAGTCCAGGGCTTCCCTGGTGGCGCAGTGGTTGAGAGTCCACCTGCCGATGCAGGGGACACGGGTTCGTGCTCCGGTCCGGGAGGATCCCACATGCTGCAGAGCGGCTGGGCCTGTGGGCCATGGCCGCTGAGTCTGTGCGTCCGGAGCCTGTGCTCCACAGCGGGAGAGGCCACAACAGTGAGAGGCCCACGTACCGCAAAAAAAAAAAAAAAAACAGTCCAAACTCACATAGTGACTGGCAACAGAGCCAGAGTGAATGGGCATCCTTACCACAGGTATTCTCTCTGGGAATAATAATATTTAGGCACGCACAGTCATTGGTGCACACATATTCCCACTGAAAAAAAGTATCTTAGTTTATAATTGGTTTACTTACTTACAAGTACAGATTCACCACTTAAATAACATTGTGATGGGGGAAATAAATACTTATGCTTTAAAACAACAAGTAAATTTATTGTACACAAATTTACACAATGTTATATGTCAACTATACCTCAATGAGCTAGAAAAAATATTGCTTAAGTATAGCAAGGAGATTAAAAAAATGACAGCGTTTATCTTTAAAAATAAATAAACTTGCTTAGAAATGTTTTCAATTAATACTGTCTTTAAAAATACTTTCATCCAAGGTGAATTCCACACTGAGTCTTCAAGGGTAGGTAGGAGTTAGCCAGGTGAGGGAGAGAGGAAGTGGGAGTCTCAGGGGAGGACAAGAGAGAAAGCTGTTCCAGGCAAGTGTTCAGTATAAGCCAATGACAGCAAAGAAAGAAACAATATAGTGTGCATGGAGGACTTCTTACCGAGTTTGGTATCACTAGAGACTAATGTTCAGCACAAGAGATGAGGCTGGAAAATTGACTATTTAAAAGCTGAAAGTGAAATATATAAACTATAAAGGAGATCTATTTTGATTTGTAATACAATGTTCCTCCTTTCTCTTTCAAGATCACATTTTCTATTTTTTCATGAGCAAACTATATTTACCTACTTCAGTTTTTAAATCAGCTTTTTACTGAAGTATAATTTACATACAATAAAACTGATCAATTTTCAGTATACAATTCAATGAGTTTTGACAAATATACAACCACCACCACAATCAAGGTATAGAGTATTTTCATCACTTCAAAAAGTTCCCTCATGCCTCTTGTAGTCAATCCTTTCTCCCATCTTTGGCCCACTGATCTTTCTGCCACTAACCTTTTACC